TCTGCTCGGTCTCACGCTGACTGCTGACCTGAGATGGAACAAATACATTGAGTCAATTGCTTCTTCCACCGCGAGGAAAGTTGGCTCTATGTGCCGCGCCAGGAAATTTTTCTCCCCTGAATCGATACTTCAAATATACAAAACAACCATTCGCCCTTGCATGGAGTATTGCTGCCATATATGGGCTGGAGCACCTTCTGCTTACCTCGGAGTTCTTGACAAGATCCAGAGACGGATATGTAATCTAATTGGCCCTGATCTGGCATCTCGTTTACAGTCACTCTCTCACAGATGTGCCGTCGTCTCTCTCTGTCTTTTCTACAAATACTTCCATGGTAATTGCTCTGATGAGCTGCTTTCACTGGTCCCCAGACTCCATGAATTCAAGCGCCCTACGAGGCTGGCATCCCGCTCCCACCCTTACACTGTAGAAACTTTTAAATGTAGCCGTCTCTTCTACTCCAATAGCTTCATACCTTGCACCTCTCGCCAGTGGAACACCCTCCCCAATTACTGTTTCCCTGAGAGCTATAATCTCCAACTGTTCAAATGTAATGTCAACCGACATCTCCAGTTACCTTGATCTACCCACTATCCTTCTCCTCATCTTTCTTCTATCACTCCTATCTGCTCTCGCTCCAAATCTTCCGCAACCCCCTGCATCCTAGTGGCTTCACGCCTTGCTTGGGGCGTAATGCTTAAAAAAAAAAATTAAAAAAATAATTTGGCACGCTCAAATCACCGTGCTGATAACAAATATGGCGCCAGTTTGTTTAAATTGCACAGATCAGTACGAAAATTTCAGTAATTATGCAAGTCAGTGTTGCCAACATTGTGTGAAAGTTTTGTGTGAATTGATCGGACAGTTTTGAAATATTGTAGCCGTTAGTTTTTGTTTTTTTGTTTTTTTTTTCTTAAACTTCTATGGAATTAGGCCAAACTTGCTTCGATTTCGTCTAGGCATAGAGTAAACTTCATTCATAGAACTACAAATAAAAATCATTCTATTAACATAAGCGCTTAGAAATTAAATTTGTGGATTTAATTAAAATTTTATTCACATTTAAAACGCACCGAAAATACACCATTAATATCCTTCGAGACGGTGATTTAATTGGTTTACTAATTGTTGCTGTCGTCTTGTGGTCGTAAAATCAATCCTCTCATCAAGTACTGTGATTTGATTACGCTCGTTCGGAAGGAAACCACGCGACAAATTTGATATAACTACTGCACGATAAGCAGATATCAGTTTTCAAGCTCAAACTCTTTTCATTCCAAAATGTTGAACGAAGTCATACAAATGCATTGTCTTAGATGTTCTCTTTATGAATCCAGCATGTACTCAAATAATACTCATTACTTCAACAAATTATATATATATATATATATATATATATATATATATATATATATATATGTATATGTAGGCACTACCTACCCAGGTTTCACCTAAATGGATCTCCAGGATATAGCTGGCTAAAGAGGAAATGGCACGGAACATATTTATTTATAAAACCAACAATAAAAACTAAAAGTTACCATAAACCAAAAATAGCATAAAATTTTTATTTTATTTTATTCCTTTGCTCTACTTACCGTATTGAGCACTCTACGTTTTATCTTAGTTACTTGTTTTTATCTTAGCTATCTTGTTTTTTTTTCTTTGGACTGGAAATTTAAGGCACTGGATGATTTATTTGTCACCCTGTTCGGATGTTTTAAGTTGTTTCTATTTTTCCAATTTTTCCTCGGATACAAATTTGTTTTGATATACTTGCAAATTGTGCCATCCGGGTTTTTTATCAGGCGAGTACAATTATTAGTATAGTATAATATATATATATATATATATATATATATATATATCTCCGATAATTTGCTATATTCCAATAATTTTTTGCATATTTCTACTCATCTTATCGTTGGAGTATTTGTAATACTGAAGTAAATGTGGTTTGTGTGTATGTGTTTCTACATATATGTTCACATTACATGTATATATGTATGCATGTATTTAATCGTGTTAAATCGTGATAAAAAAATTAACTGGTTTTAGATTTAAATGTAGTTTTTTTTTTTTTTAATGAAACAGTAACGTGGTAAGAATTTCAAATCTGACGTTTGAAATTCCTGATAAGCGTTTTTTTTTTTTTTCCGAGACATCAAAATATGAAATATAATTTCAATAAATTTATCGACCATATTACCCTGCCGGGCGATTTGACGAAAAAATTTGGAGTCGGTCAATGAGATAAATCCATTAAACATTGATTCATTTATTGAAAATATTTGCGTGTGTACACGTGTGTATATTACACAAAATTTCAGTCATTTGAATAACACACGTAAAGGGAATAGTAAGAACTGAACTAGCTGCTTTTCTTTGTCTACATTAACCATTAACGAGGACATTGTGCATACATGACTCATTGACTTTCTTCATTTACTTCTATAGTAATTATAAATCTATACCATGGTCGAAAATCAAACCGAAAATTTAATAACTAAAGGTTACCCGGATCAACATACATCTGATGAAGGCCATAGAGCACAAAGTTCAAAACGTTGTTAACAACAAAGATGTGGACAATAGGCCGCATGTAAATAGTGTAAATAATGATAACTTCTCATCCCAGAAATTCATACAGAAATTAATTAATCTCTTCATTCCTGAAATGTTTCTTCTTTTCTGATTTTTTTCTTTCTTTCTATTTGTCTATCCAATCCAAACTCCATTATTATATTATGAGATATTGACAGGGAACATTAAACCCTTCTTCTTACACTGAACCCAAGTAGCGTCTCTGATATGTCTTTTTCGTCCTTCCATTCGATCATATCTGAATAGTCCGTTTTCATGAAGTATCAGTAGGTTGTAACGTACGCACGTACGTTCTTGTCAAGTGGGGAAGAAGGAGAATTATAAGAAGATATTTCAGCGACGATCAAAAGAAGACAAATATAAAACAGATATTTTGAAACTACAAAAAGTTTCAAAATTCAAAAAATTGTTTAGACTTGGATAATTATTTTGTTTTACGCACTGAAAGTCAACTATCATTTAACATATAAAACAAATACTTTGCTGAAGATGCTAATATTTTGGTAATTTATTTTGCTTATATTTTCTACAAAAAAAAATTATACTAACTTTATTTCTCCAAGAAAATATTTTTTGTAAATATTTAAAACCAAACGATATTTGCTTAATTTCATTAAAGAAAATATTTACGCTAATTTTTTATTTTATTTCATTTTAATTATTTATTTATTTATTTTGCAAGGACACTTCATAATAATAAAATCTTTAAGCCTATAGAAATATATTATATAAATAGAATTCTATGCGATTTAAATGGAATTTAATTGGTAATATATCTATTTACGAAAAACCACCAAACTTCATATATATATATATATATATATATATATATGTGTGTGTGTGTGTGTGCGTGTGTGTGTAACAAAAATTCAAACTCATTTCTGTGCACAAATTACGTTCCAGTATTGAATTACTATATTCGTATTTATTAACCAATCAACGGCGTTATATCAAAAGCTTTTATACCTTTGAAATCTCAGTCAACTATGTTTGCTATTTACAACAAAATTTACGAGATCACTCTAGAAAATGATCAACATATCTCCCCTCCTATAAATAGATATTTAAAAATTAGGAAAATATTTCTAACCAATAAACTTCTGATTTTAATAAATCTAATTTTTCGATTCTTGGAGCCTATTTCTCTGTTATAAACACGATCGTGTAAGTATGAAAATTAGTATTCATTTCCATTTTTTTTCGTAAACCTTTTTAATGCACAACTGAATTATCACACTTTTCTTATAATTCAATATTTCACATATATTATAGAGAAAACTTCTTATAACAACTTCGCGAATTTTAAAGTAAATTAAGCACACTTGAAACATAAGAACGGAGTTATGTAAACAATATGTTAATAGTTGTGAAATCACAGATCTCGTTCGCTGACTGCTGGAAAATTACAAACTTTTATAAAACAACGTAAATACGTGACTCGTTTTGTTTCTTCTAACATAGTAATGCAATTTATTTTTTGTAAAGAACAAGAGCTAAATATTTTGTGGGACTTTATTTTGCGACGATCTTTGTAATTTGTTTCTTTCAACTTGAAGGAAGAGAAATACTCAATAATAAAATCTATGTAAAATTTGTAGGGCTGTGATTGAAGATTATTTATTTCTTTACTTTTTAGCATGCTTATTCCTCTACATATATATAATGACACAGATATACCACCAATTTCAGAAAAAAAACATTTAGGACAAAATTATAAGCAAGCATTTGACGTGATTGCTAGAATAATTCACCGAGGCACTATATAAGGAAGGAAACAGGATTCCTTGCATATTGCGAGTGTATGAAAATTGAGCGCTTAATTTTTAACACTCCAGTAAAAATATATTTCATGTATTCATTTAATCAGTTCCAAGGAATAAAAGAAACTTCTAGAAACTTTGCTTTCCAAATTATACATATCTTACGACCGTGTATGCAGATTAATATCTACACTTCATAAAAAAAGTATGATAATTTTACATCAGTATTTTTTCAAGATCAGATAACAAGATGAAACAAGAAATCGCTATCAGAAGAAAAGATATTTCATAAAACTATTCATTAGATATTGTTCTCTTTTCTTTTTTTGTCCAAACCTTCCAAGTATTTTCCTAAAGGTGAAGGCATAACGGATAATCCCAACGGGAAAAAGATAAAAACTAATCACAAAGCAAGAGATTAAAAAAAAAATCATTATCTTTTTTTAAACTTCAAGAATCTTTAACGCGTCAACAATCCTGCACAAAAAAAAAAAAAATGATGTTAGCTGATAACAAGCCAGCAAGTCATTAAGGGATGCCAGAACAACCAAATAAAAACATCCCCTGTTTGTATGGCTTCAGATTGAAGCCTGAATTATAAAGAGGCCAGTGCAAATGGAATAAATATCAACCTGATGCCAAATAGAGACTGGAAGGATATAGTGATGCAAGCTTCCGATTGTATTGGGATTCAAGGCTTAAAATCCAACTGAAGACTACCTCTCTACATAGGGACATTTTGCTTAATTTTCTATTCGTCAACCCTTTTATTTCTGCAGTCGTTTCCCGTTGGGTTTCTTTCATTTGACTTTATTTCTTGATGCGACTTAAAATGTCACTTTTCTTTCATTTCTCCTTCAACATTTTAATTATTCTTTTGCACTTTCATTTTTATTTTAAACCATTTGCACATTATCAGACTGATGATTTTTCTTTGAATTTCCCTTCTCTATTTTACCGTTACTTTTCCCTCCAGTGACACTTGAACAGTTATTTTAGCATCCTTCCTTCTTCCGCTATTAACTCTTTTCCTCTCCAATCGCATTTTTGTTGTTCTTTTATTTGCACTATTTAACTCCGTCCTGGGTATGATGATAATCTATATCCGCATACTGGGTAAGACGATAAACTATGCCCGACGGCAAGGCCTCTGATCAGGAGGTTTTTGAGGAGCGTGGAACCACCTCTTAATAGATGGTGTTCCCATGTCTACCTGGTGTGGTAGTACCTGTTATGGTCCTAGCTACGGGCAAATAGTTAAACCCTAGACTGGTGTCAAAACACTATGAAAGTGTTAGAATAGGTTTAAATACCAACAATACATTTGTCTAAAAAATTATTACCAGCAATAAATTTTCGAAGAAAAAGATTATTACCAGCAATATATGTTTGGAAAAAATATTACTAGCAATACATTTTTTGAAAAAAAAATATTACCAGCAATACATTTTTGGAAAAAAATATTACCAGCAATATATTTTTTGAAAAAATATTACCAACAATATATTTAAAATAAAAAAGTATTACCAGCAATGAACTTTTCGAAGAAAAATTATTTCCAGCAATACATTTTTGGAAAAAATATTACCAGCAATACATTTTTGGAAAAAATATTACCAGCAATACATTTTTAGAAAATATATAATACCAGCAATATATTTTTGGAAAAAATATTACCAACAATATATTTAAAAAAAATATTACCAGTAATAAAAATCTTGTTGACATTAAATAACCCATTGAGGTTGATATGCCGTAAAACAAACTAAACCAAACCAATTTAACTTTCTGTCTGAATTTTTGCTGATATCACTTCACTCTCCTTTCAAAAGACTTCTCATTTTTTCATCAGTTGTACATATCACTTCTTACTCAGTTTTCTTTTTTCATTCCTCATACTTTCTATCTTTTTTATTCCTCTCTTCTTTTTTTTATTCCTTTTTTTTTCATTTCTTTCTTGTTTTTTTTGTTTGTATTTGCTTTTTTTTTCCTTTCTGTTTCTTTGTTCCTTTCTAGTTTTTATTTCTCTCTGTTTTATTGTTTCTTTCCCGCTTCCAGTTTTTATATAATATTTGATAAACATTCTCGAGTATAACACACCGCCTATGAGTGCAAGCTACTAAAAAACGAGATCAAATCTCGCATAGATAATATTATTGTTTCTTCAACTCCGGATTTCGTCAGTTGATATTGCCGATTGTTTGTGTAGCGTTATGGTGTTTTCTTTTTTTTTCTGGACGTTCATTTCTTCTCGCTATTATGTAACAGACTCCTTGGTTTCCTCCTTTCGCATGCAGCGCTTATAGGTTATCTGTCTGAAAAGTCCAGGACTGAAGTCACAAACGATTTATTTTAATTCAAAACAACAAACTACATGATTTTCCACTTCAACGAATATCTCCCTCGTGTCTACTGCACTTTTCCACCCTTCACTGAGACCTTCTAGGAAGAATTAGATACCCCTCATCTCCGTCTTTATGCCCCTCCCGATGGCATCCACTCCTTCAAAACGGGTCTCCTTGATGATCCGCTTGAGCCCGCGGAAAAGAAAAAAGTCACGCCGAGTAAGATCAGGTGAATAGGGTGGTTGTTTCAATACTGCGGAGTTCTTCTCAGTCAGCAGACATTACCGGAGGCTCAAGGCGCTCTGAGCAGGTGAATTGTCGCGGTAAAGCAGCTACGATTTGTCCTGACACAAAAGCATGTGAAAAAAAATGCAATGGTTGCAGAAAGCTAAGATTAGTTAAATACACACAAGATATCATGTTAGATGATAATACAATCCGATTACCTCCCTTTCATCCATAGCTCACATAGCACAGCCATTCCAGTTAAATTTCAGAAAGATTTCGTATATCTACCTATCATCTGGTTATTCCATGTCTGCATACCCTAAGCGCTACCGTGTCGACCACCTGTTGACATGTAGACGTTACTCACTGAAATCCAGCAAAGACGCGAATCTTTTGGCTAGGAGGTCTTCTTTCAGGTTAACCTGCTGATACACCTGTCTTCTTTGGTGTAGCAGAGTACAAAGTCTGTTTTTGGTATCATTCATCATACATCTATTTCTCTTAGAACAATAGCTACTTATTGAAATTAAAGTTAATCGAGACCACCTGGTATTTCCTGGCGTAAATCACATAATACAGTAGCACCTCGCGAGAAGCAAGCTCGCTTCAAATGAAACTATTTGCTTCCCAAAGAAGCACCAATTTTCTCTGGTCCCCACTACGTATTACTCTTTTATTCCGTTATATTCTGCCATATTTACCGGCAGGTGAAGCTCGTTATCTATCCTGACTGCGATGGCGGCTTTGATATAAAGTCAAAATTAACATTGAAACGTGCAGATGTAGATGAAGCAGGGTTCCAGGAAGTATCCAGCATCCTTCCTACTTTGTGTTCACCCCAGACATCAGGGACTGACCCTAACACTATTTTCAGTGTAATGAGGAATGTAAAGTCTGGACGGACAGTTATCCCGCTAGAACTGAAACTGGAGTGAGGTTAATGTTCATCTCAGGCCCCTTAAACGAGGTGACCCTATTTTTTTTTTTTTTTTTTTTTGTAAAGTTTAGATTAATTTAGCACAAGATCACATGCATGGTCAACCCAATGAGGATAGAACTCAACAAAAAATAGATATTCAACCAAACTGTCTCGCTAACCGTTAAGGTACTCCAAGGCGCTTAGCTTAATGTTGTAACCTAGAAAAGGTTACTGAATGAGGAATAACCAAAACGGAGGTTGGAAATGTAATGGTAATCTTTATAATATCAAAAAAAATACAATACTCGCCAGCGGCGTGAAGTAGGGAAACCACTGCTAGTGGTGGACTACTACTTAGACAGCATATTACGATATTTACCTGCCTACCACCGAGGTAGGATACGGCACAAGGCCAAATTTAATGTGAGAAAATCCGACCACATAGGTTTGGGTAAAAATTGCCCATAGACCCCGCATACGCGAGATCGGGTATCTGTCTACCTCCCCGGCGAGACTCTGTCCTTCTGCATAGCCTCGCCTGGTTTCCTCTCTGTCCAAAGGCAGAGAGTTCGACACGGCAACAGCTTCCTATGCTGACAGCTCACGCTGCTAGTATAGGCAGCATACTACCTCCACTTACAATAGTGTCCAACGTATTGATGAGGATTGGACATACTCATTAGTGTTCATAGGTATGGTATATAACAGTTTAGCACAAGGTCAAAACACTGGCACACAGTGAGGATAAGAAGTCCAGCTTGCTAAATATTAAATGAGATGTATAATTTGCTTGTAGATGAAAATTCATTAAACAAGATTGTACAAATATAACACGGCATACAGGTAGGAACTATTATGATGAAGGGACTGGCTACCTAAATTTGAATTGGACAGCAATTGCTACTGGAGGTGTTGCAATTTTCTCGCAGATTGGATATAAGGAATCTTATACGCTTTAATTAGGATAATTCTCTTATTGAGACTTCCATTTAATTTTCTCCTTTTTTTATTTTCTTTCATAATTATATTTTTTTTTACTTCTATATTTTGATGATTATTCCCTTTATCTTTCCTTCTTCCCATTTGTCACTTTCGATTTTTGCTTTTCATACTTCTTTTTCTTTCCATTTTTCTAACTCTCACCAATTATTCTGACGCCCCCTTTGACGATACCCGTTTTTCAGTTGCTGTCATCCACCCGGTTCTGGTATCATTTCCAATTTACATTTAACATTACATCGTCCTTGATCAGATCCTGAATTATCTCCAGTTAAAATAAACGGTTACACTCTGAAAGAAGTTCCATGCTTTGATCGTCTGTTGTGACTCAAGTTCATTCCAGACCTCAAGTGGAATTTGTACATATGGTCCCTTGCTGAAGAGCAAACTCAACATGATATGATGGTTAGCAAGATTATCTCGCTAGATCAATTGGTAAATATTGGTTTTGTTTCCCGAGCGCTAATATCCCTTAAAATCTTTTCCAAAATCGTCAAATTCCGTGCAAATGTACATTCTGAACTCGAATTAACAACTAAATTATGAAGAAACCTTACCGTTATCGACAAGAAAAAATTGGACATTTTGTCGGTCTTTTGACAGCCATTACCGGGTTATTTAGAAGCAATTCACTGCGGCACACTTTGCGACGGAGTCATAAAATTTGGGCCTATTACAGAATTTAGGCCTTTATAGAATTTCCTTGCAGAAATCATTACACGCTTCCGTAGAGCGATTTATTTATTTTTCTTTTTTTTCTTTTTTTTTTTTTTGATAAGTGTAGGTTTACTTAATTTTTTGAGAAGAAACTTAACTTCCAAATATATGAAAATATCGACAAATAAAAGAATAACAAAGTAGATTTTCCTTTGATAAGTATTAACAGGTGGAAAGTTAACTTTGAAATATATGAAATTACTTATAAATTGTAAAGAACAAAATAAGTAGCACAGTAAACCATTTTTTTATTATCTAAAATTTAAAATAAAACAATAATTAATTGTAAAAGAGGAAGTTAAAAGTTGATATCTATGAAAAAAATGATACAATTTTTAAAAAATGCTATAAAGTAGATACTTAACTTACAAATATGCATGAAAATTATAGATGTCTATAATGAATTAGATTTAGGGTTCTGTGTACAATTTGCTCGCCTCTGTCAGGAACACATGAAGGCGCTGCCTATTATGAGGGACTGCTTTCAGGAACAGAAAACGAGCAATATATTGCTTTAAATAAGCAGTTCTGTGTCCAGATCTTTTTATTACACCTTAGTCGTCCTCCACAATCTTTCAACTGTTTGCGTGTAGGTATTTCGGTCTGGAGGATCAATAAATGATTTATCTGTCTGTGCGTGTATCCATGGTCCAGTATTCGCACATACGCCGGCCAGCAATCACTGTAAATGATTGATCCTGGTCGGATGTGTCGCACAATGAAGGGAATACGTGTATGGGCATCCCTGGCTTCTCCTTCACCGCAATCAGACGTAAGTGGAACCAGAACCGTCTTCTTCGAAACTCTTTCGATTCTGCCAAATAGCCAGACCGTTTTCAATCGACGTCCCCGGTTATATTTTCATTTTGCGATAATCGTTTCATCGATCTCTACCTCGACGCCGGTTCCACCCAATTTCTCCTACACATTTTCTGACCAGAACTGACACACCTCACTGCAGAAGGAGCGCCAATTCACTGAAGTGTCTTTCGCATTGTCCAAATTTTCGAACATATACGACGCTTAGCTGAAGATTCTGGGAAACTGATTTTCTCTTTGTACTGTTCCAGAAAGTAAATAACTCTTGTCATAATATATCTTTACAAGAGTTATATTAGGCCAAAAATAAAATATTTCTGCCATATCCTGGGTTGAAATTACTCATTTAAGCTTCTTCGTCAATAATTCAGTTCCTTGTTGCTTTGTTACATAGCAAATAATTGTAACTCTGGGCAAAGGCATAACGCTTTGTTGATGATACATTTTACAATCCAGCGGTGATATTGTGCTCACTTTCTTCTTTTAATTTCCGTGTAAATCAATAGCAGTGTTTCATTTCAAAGATTCACGTATACATGTATTTCTTACTAGAGGATAAGATAATAATTTATATTCAGTGATATCTATTTTAGATAGTAATACATAACATATAATAATACTATAATATTGATAATATTGATTATTTTTAATTTATTATACATGACATTTCATTTCTTATGCATAGTACATAATAGATAATATATATATATATATACATATATATATATATACAAGATATAATGCATAATATAAAATATTTGATAATGCAACGCAATAAAACGTGTAATAATACGAAGAATAGATATATAATACATTATATATCATATATAATAATACATAATAATAACAATGCATAATAATATTTAATATATAATATAATGCATAATACATAATACATAATAATACATAATATATAATAATTCATATATAATAATAATTATGATAACAGCAATACATAATATTACGATATATATTAATAATACGTAATATATCATATAATACATAATATATAAAAATGCATTAGTCACATTATATCATAATAATCCATAATAATAACATATA